CGTTTTTGGAAAATCTTTCTTTCATGACATATGATCAAAATTACAATGAGAACTAGTTTAGTGCAAATCTGCATTAAGAATAAAACCAAACAATTAGTTACTGAAGAACTTTAAGATAAAGTAGGTTATCTTGGGCTAAGCTAGTTTTTCCTAAGCCCTGAAGGAAGAAGCATATGTTTGGGCCCAAATGGACATAGGGCCTTTAGCCGCATCTCAATATATCGTCACTAATTTAATTTTCCCAACAGGATTAAGCAGATGCCTCTGATCTAGGTTAGCTTAAAATTTTAAAAAAAGTTACTGCATATAAACATCCTATAGCTGGGCACAGTATTGGTCAAAACTACGGTTGAAATTTAGAATCGTTTGGCAGGAATTTGAGGGAGTAAGGTGTTTTATTTGGTAGAGGTTTGGTTCCCGATTATAATACCACTTACATTAAAAGGTAATGCACCGTTTTTGAGAAAAATTATAAAGAAAATCCCATAGAACTAACCTAAAAATGATAACACAAAATGAATTAAGGGGGTGGAGGTGGTTGTAGAGTCGCCCCCCACTTCCACATACTGCCGGACATGCTTAGTTTTTTTTTATAAATTTCTAAAGATCTAATTTTGAGGTTATGTTTTTGTAATGTTTTTGACTATAATCTGATTTATGAAGGGAAAGAGATGGGGGAAGGAAGCACCACGTAGCGCAGTCGAGGGAAGCCCGGTCGACGAAGCCCCGCTTCGCGGAGCTCTTCTCAGTGGTTTACAAAAAAATAACCACGAAAAAAATGGCAGGGTCTCTTCGCCCGCTCACTCGACCCCGCCATCCCCTTCTAACCTAACCTGTCCAAGTCGGGGTGCTCTAAGTCCCGAGCTCGCTTCGCTTGCTCTTACACTCAACAAAACACCAATATATTAGCTTTTATAATTATTTTAAATTATAAACATAATATCTCTCGCACAGGTGCCTGCGATTTGCTACGATGGGCGGGGGTAGCTCTCCCTTCACACCTACGGCTTTACAAAAACACTTTAGTTTAAAACACTGGTACAGATTCGATCAGATCAGATATCTATTAAGTCAGGTCGCCTTTGCTCCCGCTGCAGCCACAAAATTCTGTATGCTATCCAGCTTTCACAGTAATATTGTATAATTTTTTCGCAGAAGGGCTAGAACGCAGAACCGTAAAGTCAGTTAATAATAAAAAATGTATCATTTTCCATACTTTACGCATTTTAGGTTATAATGGTTTTTATTAATTTTTTCGATAATGGTGCATTACCTTTTAATGTGAGTGATAATATTATAATCGGGGACCAAACCTCTACTCCCCCAGATTCCTGCCAAACAATTCTAAAACCAAACCCAAAACTACTTTTAAGAGATATTTTTAGTCAAAATCCCTTTTATCATAATTTCTTGGTGAAAATTACGGTATTTCTTTAGTAATCTGCCGCACGAATATATGGTCGCCGAGGGGGGAGGGGTAGCAACCTCCCCCTAAAAGGGAGAAGTGCCGGAAACCCCCTTTTTTAAATGAATTTTTTTAGTAATCTGCCGCACGAATATATGGTCGCCGAGTGGGTGGGAGTGAGGCTGATCAGGAACCTCCTCCTAAAAGGGGGAAGTACCGGAAATCTTCCCTTTTTTTATGAATTTAATTATGTTACATATTAAGGCAAAATTGCTTTCACTTATTAAAAAAAGGTCGTCAGGCAAAAGTCATATTCAGGTCCCATGGCAAGGTGGGAGTTTTCAGGGTGGAAAAAAAGCGTGGGAAAAGCGTCACAAAAAGGTCAAGGTCAGTAAAGGTCAAAACCTCATTTTATAGTGTCGATACTGGCACTATGCAGTCCGCTGCTGCGGCACTGTTGTTGGTGGTTTTCGCTTTTTGGACCATTTTTCAATTCTTCTAAAGACTTCCGGCATAAAAAGCAGCTAGATGGTAATCAATAGCATCATTGCCTGTCAACTAAAGATAAAATGATCACATAAATCATGCACCAAATTACTAAAGCCAACCCAAAATTGCTTTCGCCCAAACTTCTTTAGTCAATATATATTTGACTGTTTTGCTAGTTAATTTGTGTCATATATTTTTAAAACTAATATAATATTAGTTATTTTTAATTCTACTTCACAATAAAAAAAGAAAGATTTAAATTTTATAAGACCCCAAAACAACTTGCAAAACATTGCAAGATGTCAAATTTGATTTTTTTTATATGCTAATGTCAATCGAGCAAGAATATTGAAGAAAATTGGTAATTTTCAACAGCAGATATTTGAAAATGCTTACTTAGGTATAGGCTGAGTAGTTAATTTAAAGATGAGCACTATAATATAGGTGCACACAACATTTTTAATAAATTATTTACCTTGAGAAATTGATGCCCTTTTTGCCTTCTTTCTTTCAAGGACATTATTATAATTTTCTAACACTTGTAACCGTTGTCTAAGTAAGAATTCTTCCTCAGAAGATATATCCGAAAGATCATCCATATCATCAACAATTTCTCCTTCTTCCATCTCTGAATCATTATTTACTGAAGGAATGTTTTCGACGCTGGTCATTTTGACTTCGAGAGTACATGAAACATGAAAGAAGTAATCAATAAGTAATCTCTAGTAAGGACGCAATAAAATTATTAAGTAATATAAGTAACACTAGCCAAAAAACTTTAATTTTATGATTTTAAAATAAGAATTTTATCAATACCAACTAACAATATCAATATCATAAAATATCACCATTAACCATTAATTTTTTTTTATTAACTGGCTTTACGGCTCTGGGTTCTAGCTAATGGTGGTTAATATAGCGCATGGCGCCATATAATAGCGCGCTATCTCTCCATAGCGCATAGCGCGTGCTATGTAAGTAGTCGCCATGGCGCTATGGCGCTATGACGCTTTGGCGCTATTAAGTATTAATATCTAGCGGCCTGGTCACGGAGGAAACAGTCTCCCTCATGACTATGGGTGCTGTAAAGTGCTCAAAACGTCGGGTATTTAAAAAGTTAAATATACGCGATAAATCCGTAAAGACTAGTATTATTTAAATGTATATAATAATGTATGTAAATAGTTGATTTTTATGTATACAATCAATAAAAATGAAAGCGTCTATTTCGCACAACACTACACAAACATACAATGTAATTCCAGCATCTAAACAGACAACAAAGAAACAGAGGGCTAATCCCAACTCAACCAAACTTATTGTAGCAACAACCGAAAATATATAATATAGTGGCACGTAACAGCCAAGTCATTTGCGAGTGAATATATTTCGGCTATTTCTTATGAGAATTATAGTGATAACTAGTAATTTTATTGTGTTTAATGCAATGGTTTCTTGTTCTATAACAGGATGTGATCCGTCCAAAAGGAATAATCCCCAGCATTACTCATTTCACCAGTAAGCTTACAAATTGGTATCTATCTTTATTCCTTAATAATATTAAACAAATGTACCGGTTTTAGAGAAAATGTAATGAAAAATGACTTTTATGTAGTACTGAGATGAATTAGCACATAAAAACAGCCGTATTTAGAAAAGAACAAATAGAGAAATATGAGGGCATTTCTAACCCACTGAGCTATTATGTACTACGTACTAGAGGCGACACTGCACTCAGGCACTCTATTCCACTCAACTGCGGTGCATACACCGCATTTTAATCAGTCACTCGCTAGGCGCTTGTAGAGTTGTCACGTGTTGTGTTGATTTAAAAAAAATCTCTTGATAAAAATACGCCATCGTGTGTACTTAGATATTGTACAAATAATTCAAGAAATATTAGTAAAAGCCAAGGAATTACTTTTCATCGGTTAATAAGATACTTAATCAATAAAAAGAAGTATTATGGATTAATAATAAAACAAATTATTCCTAAGATGCCATCTCGTGTCATGGAATATAGATTATGAAATTAATATTTTCAGATGTGACATTTCTGTGAGTACATTCTTAGTAGAGTCATGTTTAAATCTGCTTATTATTCTTTTATTTTATTTTTAGTTTTCCACATCAAAGTTAAAGTGGAATAAATTCGTCTATTTTTAACCCTCGCGTGCCCAGCATTTAATGAACGACTCTTATTATAATTTAAATAAATATATTTGTAATTTAAATGTTATGTTAATAAGTTTTGTTAAGCATACATTCAGTATGTTTTTTTTATATTTAACATAGATACCTTTTAAAATATTCAGATAAAAATATCATAAAAAAAAATTGTTATATAATATTTTGTAATATTATATTAAATAAACAAATATAATATACAAAATAAATGACAACATTTAAATAATGTTCTAATATATATATAATTTACCTATATAACAATACAATATATATATATGATATAATTTACCTATTTAACAATACAATCTAATATTAGCTACGGGTCATTCTACCTATGTTATGATAGAATTTAAGATAAAAAACCAACCGCGCGAACACAGAGTAGCGCACATTTTTCGTTTGAGATAGCTGTTCTAGTAAGTACATAATACATATTACTTCAATGTTCTAATCTCACCAGCGTGACCATTTTTAGTAGATTTCTACTTTTTTAGTAGATTTGAAGCAAATAAGATGATAATCTAGTAGGATAAAATGTCTTAGTAGAATTTAGTAGAAATGAGAAACACATCGGTAGGTTTTGGTATTAATTCTCTGTCAAAAATATTAGGCTTAAAACCAAGCATCCACGTCCAAAAAAGTTTTAATTTTACAGTTGGCAGCACACGAAAGTGATTTGGGGGTATTCCCTTATTATTGAATGAACGGTACTGTGGGCATAGCAAATTGAATTTCATTTTCCAATAGATAAAGGCTATTTTTGTAAAATAGGTCTTTCAACTTAGATCATTTTAAAGTTGCTTCTATAATGATAGACTAGACAACACAATTTTAAATTTTATTAGTCGTTTTCTGAGCATGGAATGTGGATAGACTAGTGGGAATTCCTTTATTGAGATTTTTTATAATCGAATTTAAAATGAAACGTAAATATACACAAGGATATCGCGATGAATGGGAGCAAGATCCCTCATTTAAAAGTTGGTTATGTAAATCTAAGGTAAACACTACGAGTGCTCATTGTAAAGCATGCAACTGTGAAGTACTAAGTAGAGTGGCGTCTTTGAAAGAATACATGGCCACATCAAAGCATATAAAAAATATGAAAGGATATTCCGGCATTTCTCAGGTATGCAAGTTACTTACGTTAATATGTGGAATGTAATTCTTAGTTAATTATTCTTGTTAAGATTTTTTTTTAATACTTTCAACTTACGCAGTAGTGTGAACCCGTATTATGTTTTAAAGTTCATGAATTTTATTTTCATTCAAAATTCAAACATTCGCTGTTTTATGTACGTTTATTACCTACGCATTTACATAACAATTACTATACAACTATGTGTGTGTTTATTCATGTTAAATGCTATGTAAAAATTGCTTAGTATTTGATACTACATAGCGCTATATGAAATGTCCTGTATAATTATTTTTAACTTCTTTGGTTACAGATTGATACGATTTTCAAAACATCAACCATTTCGGAAGAAGTAAAAAAAGCAGAAATCAGCATTGTAGCTGCCTTAGTTGAACATAATATTCCTTTTCGCGTAATGGATCATGTAAGCGAAGTTATTTCAAGGGCATTTCACGACTCCGAAATCGCAAAACGTTTTTCCTGTAGAAGAACTAAATCTGCCGCAATTGCCTACAACGTCTTAGGCAATAACTTCGAGGAAAAAATGCTTGCAGAATTACGTCCAAGACCAGAAAATGAAACTGAGAGAAGCCCAGTATTTTCGCTCATTATCGACGAGAGCACAGATGTCAGTACTACCAAGGTACTTGCAGTAGCAGTAAAGTACTACTCTGAAAAATTGCAATCTCCACAAACAAAATTTTTGTGTATGGTGGACTTAAAAGGTGATACTGCGCAAGATTTGTTTGATAGTTTAACATGTGCCTTATCTGAAAAAAACCTTATTATAGCCAATTTAATAGGGTTCGCTGCTGATACCACGAATGTAATGTTCGGCGAAAGGAGTAGCGTGGTATCTAAAATTAAAAACTACTCCACTTCAGTCAATAGATCCAAGTTCAAGAATGCATTTCCTTCCTATACAAAACATGTACCTGGGCACAAACGTAGCAATGACATTGGAATCATTAAAAGATGATGTCCGAATGAGATCTAAAATTGAGGAATTCCTTAACAGATGTCAGTCATTTTTGATCGAGCTGAGTAACCAATTTCTGCAAAGACTGCCTGTACAAGATTATTTTTTGCAGGATTTGTCATTCATCGATCCCCAAAAAGCGGTGTATGGTGAATTTCGAACTCTGATAGGAATACTCAAAAGGTTTCCTAACATAGTTGCAACCGAAAACATGCAAATTGTTGACAATGAATATAGGGAATTAAAATTAGATGTTTCCGTGTCTAATTTATTGTCAACTTCTAGTTCGACATCTGAAACTTTTATGGTGGATAAATTTTGGAGCGAAGTCAGCCAAATCTGTGATGCGAATAGCAAACCAAAGTATGGCAATTTGTCCCGATTTGTGAAGCAAATGACGATACTACCTTTGTCAAACGCCAAAGTAGAAAGAATATTTTCCGATATTAATAGGATTAAAAATCAAGATCGAAATCGATTTAATAATAAGAATGTTGCAGCAATAATGCATGGAATAGAAAGGAATAAAAGAATGGATAGAGGGGCTACGACAGTTGGAAGGAGGATGTAGCAGATTTAATCCTGACAGAAGTATGATCAAGTTAATGGACTCAAAACAGCTTTATGACAATGTAACCCAACAAAAAAATGATGAAGAATCTTAACTTTAAGTTTCATTTTATTCTTTTTTTTTAAATTATATTTTTATTTAGAATTTAAGTTTAAAAAAACATTAGTTTCTTTAATTAATGGTTGTTTCTTTGTTATTTTATTATTTTATCGTTTAATCTAAAAAAAAATTCATGTTTTTACGTTGTAACACGACAGCAAAAAAATAAATAGATTTTTAGTATTTTCTCGTTCTGTTTTGGTAGAATTCAGTAGATTTTAACCTCCACAAGCAGTAGATTCGTCATATGAAATCTGGTCACGCTGAATCTCACTTTTTAGTGATGTTTGCCATAGATTAATGTATATATACTAGATGATTGCTCAGTTTATTTTTGATGTCGACTTCATTCAATCAAAGTGAAGGATAGTAAGTAATATTTGTATACAAAGAATAGTTAAGTTTATTGATATGCACAAATTAAATAAAGCTGTTATTTAAGTAAATTTTATTGAAATTTAGTGTCCAGAAACATTTTATGTCAAGACATTAAATCAATAGCACTCTTGATTAAAATAATTGTTTAAGATTAACACAGAAGCCAATTTTTAATAATGACTGGGACAACAATTGTACTCACCACTGACAAAAGTCTACATGGTTATACTAATATGTGTATTGTCCATTAATTGAAACCAAATAACATATAAATTGCAGGTTCCATATAAATCCGGAAAGTTGATAAAAGTGGTTGCGGATGTTAAACAGGCAAAATTATACTCCGGATAAATATTCTACGATGTGCAGCAAGCACTTTCATCCGCACTGTTTTTCAGTTACTATTGGTCAAAAAAGAAGAAAGTTGCGAAGTGGTTCGGTACCTAACTTAAGTATTTTGATAAGAGAAATCATAGCCAATTTTTTAACCATTCAGATTAGCTATTTGTAACACTTGACAAATTAAACAATAAGGACAGTGTGTTGATGTTAAGTTTTCAATTATATAAAAACAAATTTTTGATGCGTCTATGAAAAATAGTGAAATAAATAAGATGTAACATAATCTACTGAAAATAGGTGCTTTAAAATATACATAAATTTTGTATTACACTTTTATGTATATGTTACTGCATACATTATGATAAGAGACAAAAACATTTTATAAAAGCTTAATTATTGTCATAATAATTGTATAACAGTAATATAATTATTGTTATGCCAGCTTGCCTTTGAAACACATAAATTATATGAAATTAGCCCATTTGTCTATTTAACTTGTTTAAATTCCAGGTAGAAATTCATCTTCCACATAGATCAACAATGTATCTAAATACCTATATAGTATAGAGACATGGAATCTTTACCTAGGGTATCTGATAATACAATAATGATAGTGTGTTCATGTTGAGTTTACAATTTTATGAAAACTAATTTGATGTATCTAAGGCTACTCAGAGCATAATAATTGAAATCATCTGACATTCCTCTATGAAAGATTTCACTATCTTTAAAATAAGAAAGCTATAATCTATTCTGCTGAAAATAGGTGGTTGAAATATGTAGTTCATATATTTTGTATTACATTCATAATAATAAAATGATGTTCTTAATAACTTACTACACATATTAAGAATTGTCTAGATATAATAATAGTATGTAAGTTGAATTATTCTTCCTTATTATATTTATTTTTAAATTAGATATTATGTTAGATTGCCCTTGCATCATATAAGTCACATATGTTATCTGAAATAAGTCTGCCTTATCTATTAAATTTGTTTGAATTCCAGGTTGAACTGCATCTTCCACATAGATCATTTACATATCAGTAGTATTGGAGTGGCACCAAGAAAGAAGGAAATGATAATAATAATATTCAAATAAAGAGAAGAATAATAGAAAAGAAAAAAGTTGAAAATATATACATGCTCAAAATAGCTAGAATCTAAATTAATTCAACACACACACACACACACACATACACATATATATATATATATATATATTTCTGTAATACAAATTATCTGTAACTTCAAAATATATACGCAAGTAAGACGAAAGTGATGGTTTTTGAAAGAGATGAAAGCAAGACGGTATGTGAAATAAGAATAGAAGGAGAGTTAATTGAGCAAGTGGATGAGTTCGTATATTTGGGATGTGTATTCAGCAGGGATGGGAGATATGATAAGGATATTGAACGACGAGTGAATGCAGGAAATAAAGTAAATGGGGCTCTACACTCTATTGTGAAAAGTCAGAATGTGTCAAAAAAGGCACGTATTCACAGTGCTGTATTAATCCCTACTTTAACGTATGGTAGTGAAAGTTGGGTGTGGCAGAAGAAGCACAAGAGTAGAATAAATGCAGTAGAAATGCGGTCGCTAAGGAGTATGTTAGGGCTGAATCTGAGTGACAGGGTGAGAAACTGTGTGATAAAAGAAGAGTGTGGTTTGCAAGATGATGCGGTGACCAGGATTAAGAAAGGAATGCTTCGGTGGTTTGGTCATGTAGAAAGAATGAATGCGGAAAGACTGACAAAGCAAATATATTGAAATAATACTAGTTTTTACGGAATTTATCGCGTATATTTTAACTTTTTAAATACCCGACGTTTCGAACGCTTTACAGCACTCATGGTCACGGGCAAGACTGAGATGTTCAACGTCCATATGTCATAGTTAACCGCGGTTACCATAGATTAAAAATTTAACTTTTGTTCCGATCTATGCAGTATGAACTTATGGTATCTTGAAGTCTTGCAGTTGTATGCTTGGGTTGGGATTTAATTTTATTTATTATAGGATCCCAAGCAGATGGTAGCACCCAGCCATCTTCTCTATTGAAATTAGGATATTTTTTGATTTCAATAGCCTCGCGAATCATCCTTGGAAGGAATCGGTATTCTTTAGCGAGGATCTGCGGTCTATCAAATCTGATGTAGTGACGGGGGCGATCCTGTACGTGTTCACAGACTGCAGACTTCCCGGAGCGTCGATTCTTCACATCAGCTATATGTTCTTTAACGCGGGTTTTTATTGATCTTTTAGTTTGTCCTATGTAGGAGAGACCACATTCACAATCAAGCTTGTACACTCCTGCATCTTGCAGAGGGACATTACACTTGACCGATGGTAAAAACTGACCAATCTTCTTCAGTGGCTTGAAGTATGTTTTGATGGAAGCGCGCTTCAAGATGTAGCCAATCTTGTCAGTGACTCCTCTAACATATGGCAGTACAGCAGGTACACGCTCGACTGTGGCCGGCTTCAATCGTTCTCTGTGACGTAGGCGCGGGACTCGAAGCTTGTTGTCATGCAAAACTTGCTTGACATGGTGGAGCTCTGCAGCCAGGTGTTTACTGTCACAGCTCCCTCGTGCTCTCTGAAACAAAGATTTACCCACGGTAGCTAACTGTGAAGGATGGTGGTGAGAATCACCGTTTAAATATCTATCTGTATGGGTCTTTTTTCTATACACAGTATGGCTCAAGGTGTTATCAGGATTCCGAATTACTAACACATCTAGAAAAGCTAAGGAATTGTTTGCCTCTAACTCCATTGTGAACTGAATTTTAGAATTTATAGAGTTAAGATGGTCTAAAAATGCAGTTACTTTATCTAAAGGTAGAATTGTGAAAGTGTCGTCTACGTACCGCTTGTAGAATCTTGGATTTATGGGAGAGTTAAGCAGGGCTTTCTCCTCAAAGTCTTCCATAAATATGTCGGCGACAATGGGAGATACAGGTGAGCCCATCGCCACACCATCTACTTGCTTGTAGAACTCCTCCTTCCACAATAGGTAGCCAGATGTAAGGCAGTGTCTGAGTAATACTGCATATTCTACGGGCATGTTGTTTTCTTTTTTTTTTTTTTTTCAAAAACAACATCCATGTTTTGCATGACAACAAGCTTCGAGTCCCGCGCCTACGTCACAGAGAACGAGTGAAGCCGGCCACAGTCGAGCGTGTACCTGCTGTACTTTTATTTATTTATGTACTTTTTTTTATTTATTTGCTGTACTTTTTTTTTATTTATTTATGTATTTTTTGTATTTAATTTATTTTGTTGGTATTTATGTATATTTATCTTTTCATTTAAATTAATAATTATATATTTATAGAACCCAGCCAGATGAGAAGACTATATAGATACCCCAAATAATAATAAGAATGGTAAATAATAATAATGATAATTAGTCGCAGTTTTTTACCGCACAACGCGGTCGCTCGCTACTTTACTGTGGAGCGGTTGTGTCGGGGTGTATAAATAGCAGCTGTTTTGGCTCGCTGCTCACTCAGTGGTCAGCCGCCGTAGTCTACATCACCTGTAGATGCCTCATGTAGAGGCAAAACACTTGTCGTACTATCGTCAATGGTGTGTCTTTCTTAGAG